GCCGACCATTCTGGCGGTGAGCGCGGACATTACAGACGCCGCTCTTGACAAAGCAGTCAAGAGTGGCATGAAAGGCTTTGTCACCAAGCCCTTCATCACACGAGACATTGCCCGATTGATTCGGACATACTGCGCAAGCCAATAAGCTTGCCACTTTTACTTCTCCCACGGCGCTCTGGCTGCCTGGTTCTATTCACGTTATACACATTATAGTTGTACACCATACAGGTGATCATGTTAGAAAGCGGGCATGATTGGATCGGACTGGGTACACGACGATCACGATAGCATTTGACCAGCCCTTTGGAGGGCCTTTATTTTGCGGCGTTCAACGAGCGGGATACCTATGGTGGGCTATAATACCCTTTGATGAATTTTGCATGTTGGGATGACCTTGGTTATGGGTTACAGTAGCATATGCGGGCTACTCGAATACAACGAAACGTTAAACATTTTACTCAATCATTCCTCGACCCACAAGTGACTCTGCAGTGATGACGACGCGTTGCTTGGTGAGGCTCTGCTCAGACCCGGATTGCCGAGCTAGACCCGCAGGCACGGCAGTCTTGCCCAGGTGAGGTGCAGTGGTGATGTCGAAGGTGGGGGCCTTGAATCGTGGGGCATGGCCGCCGAACAGGCCGAGCACAGCACGTTGTCGGAATCTGCCCGCACCCCATGCATTTCAGACTCGCTGCGAACGGCGCAAACCCCAGATTTTCACCAGCCACAATTGACTGCAAGTGAAATGATACCGATCAAAGGGAAACTCGAAGACATGGACGAATTGGAAGCGACTTGGGCGAAACGTGGTTATCGGCGAAAAGTGGCTGGTGAGCATGCGCCACAGCACTAGCCCCTTGCGCTTGCGGGTCGATTAGAGGACAGATTTCTTGGGACGCGCCGAAGTCGAGACAAGTGCTGTTGCGCCGCCAGTACAGCCGTTTCTGCCGTGGACAATCGCAGAATCTTCTATCGTCTTCTCCTGCGACTTTACTTGCGCCAGGAAAATACAGTCCCTCCCTTTGTGCTTGAAGTAATCACGCGAAGGTTGTCAAAGTTCCTCTCAACGTCATAGGCGAAGATACCTGCGACTTGCGAGCCTCGACATTTCTAGAACCGACATATCCCTGCGAACAACACTACCACACAACGATTGAGCCACCAGACAGCGTCTCGTTGAACAAGTGGTGTATTGAGCGAAAATAAGCCGGTGATCAGAGCAGTGGGCATGGAGAATGCGTACACCAAGACGCCCGCTGAGGCGCTAAAGTATTTCCAGGTCGACGAGCAGAAAGGTCTCAGCGCACAGCAGGTGCAAAGCGCGAGGGAGAAGCATGGAAAGAATGGTGTGTTACTATTCCCCTAGACCGCGACGACGACTGCTGACACAGAGAACAGCGCTGCCAGAAGACCCACCAACACCCATCTGGGAGCTCATCCTCGAGCAGTTCAAAGACCAGCTTGTCATCATCTTGCTAGGCTCGGCAGCAGTGTCGTTTGTACTGGCCCTCTTCGAAGAGGAAGAAGGCTGGACCGCATTCGTGGACCCGGCAGTTGTACGTACCAGGCGACGACGTTACATGTACCTGCGCTGACTTGCATGCCTACAGATCCTCACCATCCTTATTCTAAACGCCGTCGTCGGAGTATCGCAAGAAACTAGCGCCGAAAAGGCCATTGCAGCCCTCCAGGAATACTCGGCCAACGAAGCGAAAGTCGTACGTGACGGACATGTCAAACGCGTAAAGGCCGACGAGCTGGTCCCCGGAGATGTCATCTCGGTCACAATCGGTGACAGGATACCCGCTGATTGCAGGATCCTGTCCATTTCTAGCAACAGCTTCAACATCGACCAGTCCATCTTGACTGGAGAGAGCGAGAGTGTATCCAAGGATACCAGGGCCGTCAAGGATGAGAACGCTGTCAAGCAGGATCAGGTCAATATGCTCTTCTCGGGTACTACGGTTGTTACGGGGCATGCGACTGCGCTGGTAGTCCTGACCGGTGGTAACACGGCGATTGGAGACATCCACGAGAGCATCACGGCACAGATCTCACAGCCCACCCCCCTCAAGGAGAAGCTCAACGACTTCGGCGACCAGCTCGCAAAGGTCATCACGGCTATCTGCATCCTCGTCTGGCTCATCAACATTGGCAACTTCAACGACCCTTCGCACGGCAGCTTCACCAAAGGCGCCATCTACTATCTTAAGATTGCCGTTTCTCTCGGTGTCGCTGCTATTCCCGAAGGTCTGGCCGTCGTCATCACAACTTGCTTGGCTCTGGGAACGCGCAAGATGGCTGCAAGAAACGCCGTTGTGCGAAGCCTGCCTTCTGTCGAGACACTTGGTAGCTGCAGCGTCATTTGCTCCGACAAGACAGGTACTCTTACCACCAACCAGATGAGCGTCAACAAGATGGTCTTCCTCAACGAACAAGGTAGTGGCCTCGAAGAATTTGATATTGAAGGCACCAGCTTCGCCCCTGAGGGTCAGGTCTCCCTCCGTGGCAAACCCCTTGAGAACCTTGCTGCTCAATCCGACACCGTTCGCCAGATTTGTGAAGTTACCGCACTTTGCAACGACGCAGCCCTTGCCTACGACTCCAAGAATGGTACTTACAACCTTGTCGGTGAGCCTACCGAGGGTGCTCTCCGCGTCTTAGTTGAGAAGGTTGGCACTCCAGATATCGCCCATAACGCGACCCGCGCCAGCACTTCGCCAGAAGGACTTCTCGATTTCTCTACCAAGCACTACGAAAGCCACTACCCCCGCCTAGCCACCTATGAGTTCTCTCGCGACCGTAAGAGCATGTCTGTTCTAGTCAAGAATGGTAACTCGCAGAAACTACTCGTCAAGGGCGCCCCGGAATCGATTCTTGATCGTTGCACCAATGTCATTGTCGGCAAGAACGGAAAGAAGATGCCCATGAGCAAGCAACTTTCTACCCTTATCAACAAGGAAATTGTCGAGTACGGCAACCGTGGTCTTCGTGTCATTGCTGTAGCGTCTGTTGAAGACATTGAATCGAACCCACTTCTGGCAAAGGCTAAGACTACCAAGGAATACACCCAGCTGGAGCAGAAGATGACTCTCATCGGTCTCGTCGGCATGTTGGACCCTCCCCGCCCTGAAGTCCGCGACTCAATCGCCAAGTGCCGCTCCGCTGGTATCCGTGTTGTAGTCATCACTGGAGACAATCAGAACACTGCCGAGTCCATCTGCCGTCAAATCGGTGTCTTTGGCCCCAATGAAGATCTCACTGGCAAGTCTTTCACAGGTCGCCAATTCGACGACCTTTCCGAGTCCGAGAAGATGGAAGCCGCCAAGCACGCCAGCCTCTTCTCCCGCACTGAGCCAACACACAAATCCAAACTCGTCGACCTTCTCCAACAAGCCGGTGAGGTTGTTGCTATGACTGGTGACGGTGTCAACGACGCGCCTGCTCTCAAGAAAGCTGATATTGGTGTTGCTATGGGGTCCGGAACCGATGTAGCCAAGCTCGCCGCGGACATGGTGCTTGTAGACGACAACTTTGCCACCATCGAAGGTGCCGTTGAAGAAGGTCGTTCCATCTACAACAACACTCAACAGTTCATCCGCTACCTCATCTCTTCCAACATCGGAGAAGTCGTCTCTATCTTCCTGACTGCCGCTATGGGTATGCCTGAGGCTCTGATCCCTGTTCAACTCCTCTGGGTCAATCTCGTCACCGATGGTCTCCCCGCTACCGCTCTCTCTTTCAACCCTCCAGACCATGATGTAATGAAGCGCCAACCCCGCAAGCGCGACGAGCCTCTCATCAGTGGCTGGTTGTTCTTCCGCTACATGGTTATTGGTACCTACGTCGGCGCTGCGACTGTCGGTGGCTACGCGTGGTGGTTCATGTTCAATAGCGATGGGCCCCAGATCTCCTTCTACCAGCTCCGCCACTTCCACCGCTGCTCGACCCAGTTCCCTGAGATTGGTTGTGAGATGTTCAGCAACTCGTCTGCCCAAGCTGCCTCTACTGTTAGTCTGAGCATTTTGGTCGTCATCGAGATGCTCAATGCCATGAACGCATTGAGCAGCTCAGAGAGTCTGCTTACATTACCGCTTTGGGAGAACATGATCCTTGTTTATGCCATTTGTTTGAGCATGGCTTTGCACTTTGCACTTCTCTACGTCCCATTCTTGCAAGGGCTGTTCAGCGTCATCCCGCTGGACGGCAACGAGTGGAAAGCGGTCATGGCGATCAGCGCGCCAATCATGTAAGTCACATTTCACGCCTTGTGCCAAAGGCTACAGAATGAGCAATCGCTAACATGTTTTCAGCATCATCGACGAGGGCCTCAAGTTCCTCGAACGCAAATTCTTCATCCAAAAGGGTAACGAGAAGTTGGAGCTCGCTGAACAACAGAACGGCAGGGCGAAGAAGGACTAGATGTTCTCTTCCTCTTCTTCTCCCTCTCGCTCGCTGAAACGCGCTGACGGACGCCCACATCTCCGATCCGATCTAGTCAAAGAACGCATATCATGATCACTTTGCATATAGAAGCAAGAGGTGGGACAGCAAGAAGTCAAAGAAGCAGCGAGGAGAGGAGTGTTTTGATACCTTTTGCATGAGATTAGGAGTTTTTGCTTTGTTCAAAGACAAGTGGTAGATGTAGATGTAAACAACATGAATAGAGCAACAGTCACGCCACAGCCGAATGAGTATATGTGGGTACTGCATGTATTTCGAGAGTGTTGTAGGTGCAAGAGCTGGGGTAAACTGGCGATGTTCAGACCGTTATCGGAACACGGATGCGGCTCTCCAATCTCCGTGGCAAATCATCTCGCCTATTTACTGTATCCAGTCGTAAACTAACAAGACTAGTATATGAGGGCACCGAGGCGACACTCAGTATCCACATGGATGCGATGGTAACGTGACAAACCTAGGCAACATCTGCGAAGCTCTAGTCAAACTTGAATAGATTCCGCCAGGCAAGCCCAAGCCATACCCGAGGTCCCATCAATGCAAACATCTCGCCGACTCTACCTCTGCCCGCCGGTAGCCCACATTCCAGATAACCTTTCTCATTTCCTACACCGACCAACCATGAACTCACGCCAACCACTTCACGACTCCATACTTCCACATTAACGACCTTCATACTTGGCAACCAACTTCCTTCCCTCCTTTTCCAACTCATCAACCGTCGGTTCCCAGACAACCGCCTTCTCATTCACTCCCAAAAACTCCCAGATGCCCACTCCGGCCTTTGTCTTCCCCTCCTTGCTCTTTCCCTTTCCCGCCTTCATCTCTCCAGCCGACTTGCCATTGAGAATCAGATGCAAATCAACTCTCAGCTTCAAGTAACCATTACCCAAGAACATGACGTCCATTCTATACCGCTCAGCAACTGTCTTGAGCGTGATGGTGCGGAACGAAGCGTGGGGTGGGGCTTCGAACGCTTGGATCGGGTACGGCATGGAGCGAGGTGGAATAGAGAGACGCGCTGTATAGGCTCCCGACATGGGATTTAGACCGGCGATGGAGGTGATGTTCAAAGTGCGTTGACCGAACCCGTACTTGTCGACATGGGTAGTGGTGTACTTGGGGCAGTAGAGCTTAAACGTTCCTTCGATGGAGCCCAGCGGTATGGGGATGCGTGTCAGGATGCTGTAGCGCAGGAAGGTGGACGCGGCTTTAACGCGCGCAATGTCAGACGCCGTATTCTCAGTTTCGGTTTCATTTGTGATGATCACTTTGAATGCTGAGGTGTCGTCCGAACGTTGGAGCTGGAGCAGTTGCTCGGATTTGGCCGTGCATCCTGAGGCTTGTTTCAAGCAAGGGAGGGTACCTGCTGCTTCGCTGTCGGAGAGCCACTCGTCGTACTCGTCAAGGTATGCTGCCTCATCGGTAAAATTGACGGTTCGGCGGGAAGCCGTGAATGTGCTAGAGAAAGTGGCAAGATTGGCTTCGTCATGCCTTTCAATGTGCTTCTTCTTGTTGTTGAAGGGAGAGATCTCGTTGCTGGGACGTGTGTATGGTTTATTTGGACGCATTAACATGTCGCGAATGGTCCTTGATGTGGTGGAGGAGCTGCTAGAAGAAGTGCTAGGTGCCTCGCTAACGGAACGACGGCCTCGAGGACGCGGCTTCGGAGTGTCTCTGAGAGGTTCTTTGAACCGCATGAGGTTCGCAGTGGTAAGACTGTCGACCTGACTATTGGTGAGCGGGTTCACGGAACCTTGGCTGCCAACAATGCGCTTTCGGGCCTCTGGGGATTTGGTGTAAATCATGAGGGGAATTTCGGGAGAAGACTCAAGGGTGCCAGGAGCTTTGCTGGTTTCCTTGGACGTGGTAACTGCGGGTCTGAGACTAAACGGGATTGCTTGTACGCGAGGAGTGGTTGCAGGTGTACGGCTCATTTGTGAGAGAGGGGTCTCGCTGACAAGGACTTCAGACTCTCGAAGGTCTATCTTGTTCTTCTTTATCGGTGACTCGCTCACACTGCGCGTCAAAGCACCAAGAGACTTCTGAGGAAGTGGAACTGGTGTGCTCTTCGGCTCGGTAGGCAGGGCTGATGCGACCGACGGAACTGGTATTGGTGTCTTGCTGACCTTGGACACATTTTCCTCGTTGGAAGCCACAGGTGTTTTCTCCAGCTTCTGCCTCTTGGCCTTGGGCTTGATCTCGTCAGACTTGATGGCCTTCTTCGTAGTATCGCTGGCCTTCGGTATCTCAGTCTCAATAGTCTTAGCAACGGTCTTCTTGCCCGAACCCACTGGTCTTCCTGGCTTATTTCTGGGCGACTCAGTAAGTTTAGCGTTCTCATTGATCCGCTGGTCGAAGATAGAGGCGAGGCGAGCAAGGGACTTCTTATTGTCTTCCATGTTCTTCTTAAAGTTGGGGCCGAGCCAATTGTCGGCGTCAGCGAGACCTTTGCCAGTGACAGCTGGACTGTCAACAGGCACCTCGGTCTCTCTCTTCCGCTTCTTCGCAGCAGAAACTGGAGTTCCGTCCGGGCCTTTCTCTCTCTTCTTATAAGGACCACGTGGACCGTACCTGCCATTCTTGACGGGTGTGGCGGCGGGTGTCGCGTCGATTGGCGGGGTGTTCTGCTTCTCTTTCAGCTTTCCTGTTTCCGCAGCAGCCATAGCTGCCTTGGCTTCCTTCTTCAGTTTCCTGGCTTCTTTCCTCTCACGCTTCTCGCGCTTTCGCTGAGCCCTTTCATTGTTGACAAGATCGTCTGTCGTGCTGTCGTTCGTCGTAACGGGCGCCGGCTTCTCCGCCTCTTTGAAGTCCATGCTGTTGAAAGATTGACGCTTCATTGAGGTGCCTTGGCCAACGACATGATGTTTTGGGATTCGGTAGAGTCCCTTGGGCGGCATAGTCGTAATCGCCAGTGGTATCTAAAGCGTAGCTCTGGCTGGGAAAACTTCGTTCGATGGTGTGGCTTGGTACTGTTGTTGTTGCTGTCGCGACCCGACTGGGCGTAGGAGGCAAACAACTGCAACTGCGCGGGTGCGTACCGAAACCCAATTATCTAAACTGAATTAGAGCGATCGCGTTAGAACAAATCTTGAAAGTCGTTACCTTGAGTTTTGGTAAATGAGTTGACGGTGGTGTGAGAGGACGGTAAAGACGACGTGGGCCAGAGGATATCGCAAGGTGGGCCCAACCTCGAGGTGAAGGTGAGGATTTAGGCACGAAGTCACCTTCACCGTGAGTATGAGAAAACTGAGCAATGGCGAAAAGCATAAATAGAAGTGCGTAGAGATTAGAGTGTTTACTAAATTGTAGCATCTTTGAGAATGCTTCCGGATTTCCAATGGGATCACGTCGTCCTTAAGGATGATCAGCCAAATACAGCGAAATAAACTTTGTGCACATCAAGTCCCGAATCGCACATGCGGGTATGGAGGGGACATATTTGGTAGAACAGGTATAACAAAATGGCTCATGACCTTAGGATTCGTTGGACATTCTGAAGATACTCAGTGAGCTTTGACATATCAAGCAACCCATCGTGAAACTGTGGTAACCACAAAACTAACCAAGTACCTCAGGCTCCATGCTTTGCAAACGCAATGAGTATATACAGATTGACCTCGAAATGGCTACAAAATTACAACACAACTATATTAATACCCTCTCCTGTGGGCGTACCTATGCTATTCGAATTCACAACTATCCTTTGAAGTCGCTAGACAATCTAAACACCCCCACTAAACAGCCTTATAATCCCGGCGCATGCGCAAAGTTCCTGATGTCCTTTGTCTCAATTCGTCCCACAGCAGGATACATATCATGCCGATCGATATAACTATTTGCCGTCTTGATATTCTCCAACCCATCTTTGCTTCCCTCGCTCTTCGCTGTATCAACCTGCACTAGTGCGTTCTTATCCATATCGGCATCGAAATCGGGCAGTCCATTTCTTTCAGGGAAACTAGTTACTTCACCACCGTTTTCTTGGATGGGAGGAATATTCGCCATGTCTCCGTGGTCAAGGCTGAGCTTGCGGACGCGAGAGTCGAGATTTGATGGTGGGGGCTGTGGCGTGCTATCGCTGGGTATTGCGCTGAGCGACTTGGACCGCACGGCCTGGAGAGTGTTGGAATCTTCTGAGGTTTGGTTTGGTGCTTCGCCTGCGGAGAGGGAGCGTTGGGGGTCTACAGTTGGTGTGTGTGGAACACTGTTTGAGCGCTGCTTCTCATGTGCAGTTTTGCTGCTCTTGGACCAGGACTTGAATTTGAAGGCCGAGAGCCAGCCTGGGCGCTTTTCTTTGCCTGCATTTGGATTTAGGGCGCGTTCAGCGGCAAGTTGGATATGAGATTTTGCTTCCGGTTTGGAAGGTTTGGATCCGGCGGTGGGTGTAGGCACGGGCGCAGGCGCAGGCGCTGAGCGGATGTCGTAGTCTGACTTCCGGCGCGCACCTGCTGCGTCCATGTTAGGTTCTGAGAGGCCTAACACAGCGCGATTTCGAGCAAGATTTGATTCTTTGACTTCTTCGCTGATGTACTGCATGGCTTTGTCGATGACTTCAATGTACTCTGGATAGTCGACTACACAGGCTTCGCGAATCAAACGCAGTTTCTCCCAATCCTGTCGCACTGCTGGACCTGTCAGGTCTGGGTGCCACCCCATGCTCTTGAGATCGGAACGAATTCCACGGTCAACCTGCTCTTTCACGCCCATGAGATCGATGAGAGCATCGACTTCGGTGCGTACAACTTTGACGTACTCGCTGAAGCGTGTGGTGTCCTTGACCGTCCAATGGGAGGTCGTCATGCTGAGGTTGCGCTTTAGACTGGCTCGCGCACCTGTCTGATTTAGGAGATCCTTCAGCAGGGTGTACTTCTCGCGGAAGCCTTCTAATCGGTTCGTGTCTAGTGCTGGATATTCGAGGCGCGAGAAAGTCTTTGGACTCTTCAAGCCGTAAACATTCATCAGTTCGTCTCGCGACATGCTACTTGGGCGTCCCGCAATCTCATGGAGCGCCCTGCGGACTTTCGCATTGATGACCTCCTCGTCAAGCCTCGAATCTCTGACGCCAAAGTGTACAGGCACATGTGGATCTGGATTTGTGATGCCAGGATGGCTGGGTATCATGTGTCGTGCAATTGTCGCAGGTGGCGCAGTTATACCCACGGCATCGCCAAAGATCAGCAACCTGCCCTGCTGTAGGCCAAGTTTCGCAAGCACAACCTTTTGCGCATGGTCCTGATCTTTTGAGGGATGGATGAGGTTGAAAGCCTCAACACAGGTGCTGAATTGGGTCGCGAGAGAGAAGACGTCGGTGAGGATCTGGGCCTTGGACTTCCCTCCGGCTGGGTCAGTTGATTCGACGAAGTCGGTCGTACTTTTCGTCGTCATGTTGGCGGGGTAGGTTTCGATGTCCAGCTAACAAGGTACCGATGGTAGAGCGGATGAGGGTGTCGCGCTGCAGAAGCTTGTGCGCCAGCTGAAGGAAAATCAGGATGCATCACGGATCAGGTCAAGTCGATATTCATTGCATGTGCGCATGACGTCTGAGGGGAGAGACCAATATCCAGCTGTGGCGCAGCCGCGTGCACAAAGGAAGCGGGGCAAGGATCGGCAAGCCGTTTATCCTCACTTGGCTTTCCTAGCACCATCTTCATTCGTGAAAATAGGCCAGTATCCGCAACCAAGCACTGCAACAATGTATGCCACGCCTTTTCCTGCAGATTCCATCTGTTTTCGACGCCACACGTGTCCAACGCCAGGTCAGACAAATGCCTCACTGCTCGGCCTGTCACTTTGTTGGGAATGAACGTGCGACCGCAAATTTGGCTGCCAAAATTTTCACCGTCTTTCGCTGCATAGCTCGCGATCTAGATTGTGTAGTCACCTCGGGTACTTATCTAGATTTTCTCACAACAGAAAAGACGCGATAAAGATTACTCGATGATTTAGGAATGATTTGGGCCCCAGTATGCGTCGCGTCGTACTGCACCCGGAATACAGGGCTCGCGGCCTTCGTTGAAAGGTCCTGAACAAGAGACCGTCGCATTACTGGAACCGTTCGCTGCTCGCACGTATCGTGCACGATACCTTGTGACCTGGCGCACTCTGCTCTAGTCGAATTTCAAGCTCACGCCCCTTGCGGCAGTTTGACACAGACGATAGACCATCATAGGTTCTAAAGCGCAATGCATCGTCCATAAGGCATGACACGCAAACTAAGCGGCCCGGACGGTAGTATCCATGATTACGTCGCTCAGCGTCCATCCGTACCTGCGTATGCGTGCGTAGCGTCGCCTAGTTCAAAGCGTTTTTCGCAACGGCGCAGCATCGGCATGGAAGATGATGAGTTCAACGCAGCACCTGCGTTTTGTTCGACTAGAACAATGCTGTATGTGAACGTACTGTCGATATGTAGACAGAACACAAGCGGCTGGCGGTTTGGCCTCTGCAAATTGGGCCGTCTCGTTCGCTAGCGGCTATGCGGTATAGGACCGAAAGAACACTAGAGAGGCGCCTTCCGATGGAAACGCTGAAGATCGTGATACGCATGTCGGCGAGAGGTGTAGCTTGTCTGCTAGACGGCAATCTGCATATTTTATCATGCAGAGCTAGTGCTGAAATGTTACAGCACTGGGACGAGAAGAAGCAATATGGTCCTTTTGCTTAGACGTGGTAGAAGGGACTCTTGCCACCTGGCCTGTCCTCGTTCACACTCAGCGCAGTGTTAGTGTCGCCATCTTGTTCGCACGACCGTGTCTCTGTCTCTTGCTTTTGTAACTCGTTGCGCTCAATACTGAACTCGTTCGTGACAAAGATGCCACTGCCCCGGCGGCCGAGCTCACTCGGTCTACTTGGTGGCAATGCATCATCTTCGCTTTCGCGCTCAGATGCACTTTTACCAGATACCTTACTCTCATTTCCAGTGCCAGCTGGCCCGTGGTTGCTCTTCCAGTCCATGGGGTACGACCGCCGCTTCGAGGTGGCCTTGGTGGCTACCGAACCAAAAAGTGGTCCAAAGAGGCGGACGAATGGAGCGCGGAGCATGGGGAGACAGGCACATATGATACCAGCGTTGGCTTCTATCACTGACCATATTGTAGCAGGAACAGGGCCCCAGGTCGGATCGGGATCGTTTGCGGACCTGGCGATTGTAGTTGCACGATAGATAGACGCAAAAGTGACACTGAGAAGTCAGCAAGGTGCTTTAAATGGAGGCTCAGATACCTACAAGCCACCCGTACCGAAAACAAGTGCCACACCCAACTTCTCGGCTCGTCCCATGGAGAGTCCTAGGATTCTTCGAAAAGGCATTGCAAGGAGCATGAAGTCGGTTGTAATTTGAACAGTGGCATAGGAAATCCACCAGGGTTCATTCTTGAAACATCTGGCTCCAGATATGGTTTTGTCCCAGAATGCGGCGATTGGCGTACATTGGAAAACCGTTGCGATAGTAAAAGCAAAACCGGTCATGATGACCCAAGCGTCTTCAGTAGAGTCAGTCAATGATCTGTAGTCCGAAACGAGCCACTTACTCATGATATGACAGGCAATACGGAAAGACTTTGTGGTGATGGCGAAGATTCGGTAGTACAGGCAAACCACAGAGATCTTGTTGAACATGAGAACGACTTTGTAAACAACTGCTACAGTCAGTGAAATTCATAGTCAAAATTCACACCATTTCCAATAAGTGCCTCCCCGCAGCATCTCAGAAACCGGAAAAACCGAGCGATCCGCATGCTTTTGGGATGATGTGTGCATTTGATGGATGTCAACTCACTATTCGCTCCATAGAACCATTTGCGAGCAATAACGCGGGAGTCGGCAGGTAGATCTTTCCAATGTCTCCCGTAGCCATATACCACAGCTGATCAAAGTTAATACCCATTTCCCAAACTTGTGCCGACCCACTGACCTTGACACTCTGTTACAGAGAGTAAAACTGATGAAAGTAAGGCGGCGATGATCATGTAGTCGTCCATTCCCAGGCCGCTACTCTTGATGAATCGCTGCGCTAGACGTGCGCTGACGAAAAGACCGGCGATAATAACAGATAGGACACTGGTGAGCCAAAGTCCCCATCCGCGCTCAACTGAGCCTTCAGTTCCAAGGCCGACGTTGAAAGTCATGTCGCTTGAGGGTGCTCGAGTTCTGGAAGGTAAATCCTATGGAACATCCATGAACAGCGGGAACGGATAGTATTATGGGCCTCGTCTAGCATTTGGCTTTCCAGGTACCCGTCCCTGGAGATACGGTAGCGCAGGGTGAGGGCTGTGGAGCGGCTGGCAACTCCTTCGTGGGGGCATTACGGGAATGCAGTGACGGCGAATTTCTCGTCGTTTCATTCCGATACGATTGGATCTGGTATACCAATCTTCGGGGACTACATCTGCCGATCTCTTGGTCTCTGTGCGCATGCAAGCTCTTCCTTGCTAGAGTCCAGGCGTTTGCCGTGAACGCAGGGCAAACTTCCAATCGCCTCGGTGTAATGTACTGAACAGGTATGGGTGGGTGACATCACAAATGGAGATCAGCGGTAGCCGGACATCTGCCGGATGTAAGCAGACCGCGTTTGTTGTCCATGTCCACTGTGTTCAAGTTCGGTAAGAACACGCAAAAGCCGTGGCGGATTAGAAGACGTCACAGTCCCAGGTATTCGAATGCTACATGTTGTGGTGATGTTGGCGTTTGCCAGATCGAAAGGTTCCACGCGACCGGGAAGGAGCGGCAGCGCATCAGGACTAGCGTAACTTGAGATGTCAAAGGATGCAGCCGTGCGAGATGAAGCCACCCGTCCTGTCTTAAACGTCGTCGAAGCTTTTCGCGCCGGTGTAACGCCGCGCGCGCTCAATATGGAGCTGTTTGCAACATTTCCAATTGCCTCGGAGCTTTATCTGGTTGTAGTGTATTTTGCCCCTATGGAACACGGTTGGCGTCGACGGCAACGCAGGAACGCGGAGCCAATTGCTTGCCAGGCCGAGCCGCGATTTGAATTTCGCTCCATTAAAGTCAGCTGGTCGCCCGCCTGGCATTGGAATTTATTCCCTAAAGCGCAAGGTTGTTGTTGTTTCGAGTTGAAATTATGCAGCACCTCCTCCTTACTGCTGCAGCTGTAGCCTCGCTATTCGGTTCGGCTGTTGCAGCGCCGAAGAATGGCTCCAATGTTGAGACATCGAGTGGTACCTTGATTGGTCACCCATCGTCTAACAAGACACATGTGACCGAGTTTCTGGGTATCCGATATGCAGAGGCGCCAGTCGGCGAGTTGAGATTTGCTGCGCCGAAGAAGTACGATGCGCCAGCAGGAACTGTCTTCGAGGCATCTGAGTGGGTTAGTAATCGCAATATCGCCAACATGGAGTACAATCGCTAACAAATCATAGTCTCCGTACGTAAGGAACACAAGACATAGAGGATACTTCTAACGACTCTTTAGTGACTGCCCTGCTGTCAAGCCGCCAGTGTCCGCCTTCCCCAACTTCACACAGCCATCCGGTCTGCGTGTGTGGAAGAACTTTGCAGCCCAGAACAACAACTCTGTATCTGAGGATTGTCTGAAGCTCAATGTCTGGACGGCAAGTGCTGGTGATGCGGACGCGAAGAAGCCAGTGCTAGTGTTTCTTCACGGAGGACGTACGTTGTTCCTTTGATTCGCCAGAATATCCCTAACGACCATTCCAGGTTTCCAGATTCCTGGTCCTCACTCTCCCTTCTACAACGGCCAATACCTAGCTGACGCTGAGGATGTGGTCGTTGTGACATTCAAGTAGGGTTCACTCCATCTTTATCCATGCGTTTACTGACAATCCCAGCTACCGATTAGGTATCTTCGGCTTCGCTGGCGCCCCTGGTGTGGAGAAGAACGCCGCGCTGCGCGATCACCGTACCGCTGTCGAATGGGTGCGCGATAACATCGCTGGTTTCGGAGGCGACCCATCGCGTATTGTCATCTTCGGACAAAGCGCAGGCGGTGCTGCCGTCGACTACTGGGCCTACGCCTGGAAGAATGACCCGATCGTTTCTGGCCTCATCCCCATGTCTGGAACCTCCCTGAGCTTCGTCCCCAACACTGTCGAGTACTCGCAGTCCATCTGGTACAATGTGTCCCAGACCATCGGCTGTGGCGGCGCTGCAGATGACGCTGCAGCAGTTGTGTCTTGCGTGCGCTCTGCAAACATGTCTGCTCTTCTGGCTGCCTCCGCAAAGGTTCCTGGTCTCCCAAGTGTGGCTTTGACTCAAGCAACTTTCCACCCGACTGTGGACAACATTACGGTCTTTGAAGATTACCAACAACTCTCTTCCGATGGCTGTTTTGCCAAGATTCCACTCTTGGTTGGTAACGCCGACCATGAAGATGGCTGGTATCGCATCTCTGGGTGGGCGGCCAAGCTGAACTTTACCAATGCACAATGGGATCTGTTCACTCAGCGCGGTTTCACGTGTCCAACCTCTCTGTCCGCTGCATACCGGGCTCAGTATGATGTGCCTACCTGGCGATACAGATACCACGGTGATTGGGATAACCTTCGCCTCTACAACGGCAGCGCAGGTCTTGGTTCCCAAGGAAGCGCTGCATACCATGGCTCCGATCTTGGCTTGGTCTTCGGCACTGTTCAGGACATCTCTGGTCTACCCAATTCTCCTGCCGAGAACCAGTACACGAAATATATCCAGGGTGCCTGGGGTGCTTTTGCCCGGGACTCACAAAAAGGATTGACTGAATATGGATGGCCTTTGTACAACTCAGGTAAGAGTCATTTGTTCTCTGGGTACAACTACTTCTTTGCTAACATACGCACAGGCAATGCCACACTCGTCGAGCTGGCCTACAACAACGACGCGACGCCCAAGTTTGTCAACCCCAAAATCTATGACGCGTCGTGTCCCGCGAAGAACGACCCTCTGCCCGGGCGAGGCGCCTTCTAGAAAGACGGAGCTAGGCGCACATCGCTGAATAAGTAGTACCTTGAAACACATCCTTGAATATTTTCATCTCGTTTACCATCGCTTCGCCTCGACTGTCACTGTCTGCATCTGTACCTTGATTCGGATGGCTGCATCTTGGTGTTCCAGAATACTACGGATTAAATATCAGACGACTCGCCGTTGAACCCAGCACTGAGTTTGCGTCCGAAGAGGTTGTTGTCCCGGCACTTGGGTCCCCAGGATCTGGTTGCGGTCGGGCTGGGTTGACGTTTATGGTTACGGCCCGATGCGCTGACGCCAACTAACAAACTTTTGTCGTAAGCCCACAGCGCGGCGCCAACCGACTTCTCTCCGTAAGAAATGACACGGAAGATATCCTATCGCAGCTGCTGTTCCCTGGAAATGATATCGCAGTCATCTGTGATTGGGCTACCGAGGTAATTGCGAAGGTGGGCGGGTGTGACATGGTGGAGACGAGCACGTGGCTATAGCAATCCCAGCTCATCCGGCGCCATCCTTCCGAACTAGAGCAGTGTGTATCGTGAATCTAATCATGCCATTTCCACAACTACGATGTGATTAGACGCATGAACTAGCGTCAAATTCTTCTGTAACCGATCTTGACCAATTGTTCCTGAATATGCCGTTCGCATCAGGCACGACGATCGAGATTTCAGTGGCGCACAGTCTGCATGAAGGCTTGCATGCGTTCGATAGTTCCGTCGAGGAGGATTGAGGCTCGTCGGTGCAGCACATGTACAGTCCTCGGTTTCCAAGAGCCAGAACATAGATAGTGAATCCTTCTGACCCGCCTCATCCACTTGGATAGCTGCTTGACTCGCAGTCTCATCGCACTAATTCGCGATTACGCAGCCTGGACTCTTCAGCACAAGAGAGATTTCTTCCGTTGACATCGTCTTGTAAGATACTCCAGTTTCTCCATAACATATCAGAGGCGAACAGAGACCGGAATCATCAAGGATGATCCCCCGTCTTGGCAATGTATATATTGTTCAATAAGGCCGGGATGTCCAACTGTAAGTACCGGGACTAGAATCCCATGCCGCGTCTATGCTAACCTACCAGAGCAAAGTTACTGCGGGGCCCTTGCGATTGCGGCGTGGTATCTGCACAGGATACGGGCTTGCTCCCCGCCCCTCGGGTCTGTATTTTCTGGGACGAGTAATCTGGTGGCCATCAGGTACAAAAGCCAAAAGCATTCCAGTCGATAGGTAGCCTGATCCCCTGGTACCTGCATCTGAACAAACCGGTCCGTCTTCATCACCACCATCATCATGAGTTCAGTTGGTGCTTGGCAGTTTGCGCCCCTCGTCACCGAATTCCCTACCAATGTTTTGCCTAACCTAGGGTTCTGGAGTGCGACCAACGGGTCTTGGGAATATCAGATTCAAGTCGCATGGCCGTTGAACTGGACATCGCAGGAGGAGAGCTCGACTGTGGAGACGATGTAAGAGCCCATGATGGACTACAGTAGCAACATGAGAAAAGAAGTACTAACACCACTACTAGGTATGTCCTCGATGGCAATGCACTCGGCATGACTGCCACGGAAGCTTTCCGTCGCCGCCGTCCAGTTGAGTTCAACATGCCCGACTGTATCGTCGTCAGCATAGGCTACCCGGAAACCATTGAAGATTCGCCTTACAGCACCCAGCGAAGCTACGACTTCCAGCCTCCTGTCTGCGACGGCTGCCCATTGCCAACAGTGCCTGGCGTGCAGTCCAATGCCAATGAGTTCATCGAGTTCATCGACACTGCTCTCCGCCCCTGGGTCCAGGAAACAGCTTTCCCAAAGGCTGAATTCGACCGCGATGCGCTCTACGGTCACTCCTTTGGCGGCCTCTTCGTCCTGTACGCTCTCACAGTACGCCCCGATCTCTTCGATACATTTCTCAGCGCCTCCCCGGCACTCTTCTTCAACAACGATTACGTCTTCAACAACACGGATTTTCTCGCACCGCTAACTTCGCCCTCGGCTAACAACACTTCCAATGCCACCAAGCCTGCTTTCCAGATAAGCTATGGGGCGCTCGAACAGAACCTGGTGCAGAGGCGGACGGAAACGGATGAGGAGTTCGCCTTTAGACAGAGCATCCTTGTACCGCAGCGGATGACGGATCTGAGCCAAAAGCTATACAGCACGCTGGAGGATAGTCCGGCGTTGAGGGATATCAGCATACATGAGTACCCTTTCAGTGATCATGCTGCAGTAGGCGCGGCAGCGCTCGCGGATGGTATCGACTACTTCCTGGACTGGTGAATGCAAAGTGCTGTCCAGGGTGGAGGTGAAGGAGAGCGACGCCTTGTATGAGGACTGAATGAAAAGCTGATGGTCAACCCTGAACCTCAAGCATTGCTGACCTGTCTTGCCTGAAATTGGTAATGCTTAATTCCGGCCGCGGTGATGTCTCTTGCTGTCATTTTTTCAATGCGGCTCATGACTCTGTGTCTTTGTAGCATCGGCTATTGATCCACTATGCCAGCGCCAGATTTTGCACCCGACTCGTTGTTCCCTTTATCCTGCTCTTCACAGGAGACTTTGTCTGCTGCCTTGATCTTCCGCGTTACCCGGTCACGACGACGCGATTGGAGATGGGAAGTCGGTTCGTCTGGGCTGGGAAGTTACAAATGGATAGCTTGCCGGACTACTTGCCCGTTTGGCAGTAATAGCGCTGTGCCTGACCGCCTTGTTCGAACACCTGGGGACGCTGGTCTGAGGCGATGTCACGCTGGGCGCGACTGGATTCGCGCGACTGGTGGAAACGATTAGATTACAACCCCGCCCTAAGCAGGTCAAAAACCACACGGCGGCATGTGTACTGCCCACATCACCCACAATCGTGCACACGGGGTACGATAAGTGATAACATGGAGTGGACACGTCCCACCGCTCATTGCACCAGAGTTGGAGCAGGTGGTGCGGCCAAATGCCGGCGAGGGGCGACATTGGCTGAAATTTTCGGGGCAGTGGGTACAGCCGCCAGCAAGAGCCTCAACGGATGCGCATCCGGTGTTTGATCAACGCAGAAAAAGTTTCGCCTAGGGAATCCCGGCGATACGTCATCTTGAGGGAAAAGAAGGGTCCGGTGAGGAGGGGATGATGGCACGTAGAAATAGCAAAATGGCCCTGTGCCCGCGAGCCCTGCCCTCGCAACATCCTCACGAAGCAACCGCTGGACGGCACAAGATTCCCTCCCCACCATCACGACTTCCACGGCCGACTTGACCACCACCACCACCATCATGCAGCGAGCAAACACGACCGAGAGCCTGCGCACGCCTGGCGCCAGCATCGCGACCCTCAACCTGAACAAGCCCCCGCGGCCGGGCATGGAGCGCGCGCCCACATCCACCAACCTCACACGGCCGCTGCCCATCCAACGCCTGGAGGGCAAGGTCGTCATGATCACAGGCGGAGGCGGCAAGGTGGGCGTCGAGTCTGCTGGCCGCCTGCTTATCGAAGGCTGCAACGTCGCCCTCATCGACATCGACCAGGGTGCTCTCGAGGCTGCCGTGCCCGTCCTCAAGGCCGCCATTCCCACAGGCTCGCCCATCGAGTCGCGCCTGCTCACCATTGTCGCCGACGCGACCAAGGAGCCCGACGTCGAGGCATGCGCCAAGAAGGTGGTGCAACGCTTCGAGAGGCTCGACGCTGCCCTGCTCAACTGCTGCCATCGCGGCGAGTCCAAGAGCATCTTCGACGTCACCGAAGACGACTTTGACCGCATCATGACCATCAACGCCAAGTCTGGTATGTCACTCCCCTGTCTCTTCGACAACGTCACCCTCCGCTGACTCTTGACCCCCCAGCATTCCTAGGCGTCAAGTACGCTGCTACAGCCATGCAGACCACCTCTGGTGGCGGCTCCATCATCATCCGATCCTCCATCGCCGGTCTTCGCGGCTTCCCCAACCTCATCTCGTACAGCGCCAGCAAGTTCGCCCTGCGCGGCATCGCCCTTACCGCCGCTGAAGAGCTTGGTCCGCTCAACATCCGCGTCAACACCATCCACACGAGCATCATCCAAACACAGGGCTACAAGGACGGCTGGAACAAGGAGAGGCTGGCAGAGCTCAAGGAGGAGACTGCGCTCGACCGCTTCAGCACCCCAGATGACGTGGCCAGCGTCGTTGCATTCCTCGTCAGCGAAGACAGCAAGTTCATGACTGGTGGACATTTGAAGATTGACGGCGGCTGCGTCGCTGTTTAGACGTTTTATTTAGCCTTGCTTGTTATACTGCGATGATCGATATTTGCATTGATGGAGTTTGGGACGCCCGCTTTTCTTCCGAAGCAGAGGCTGCATGCTTTGCACACGCTATCATCATGGATTGGAGGTATAGAGGCACATTATTAGACGGATAGAAATGATTCACCAGGCGGACATCTGTCCCCACCCACTCCATTTGCTTGTACACACTTCCTCATGTCCCTCTGCTTGGGCATACTTTGCCATGACAGCGCGTGACGTCACTGCACTGTCATGCTCCCCCTCATCTGGAGACCCATTGACGCAACATGCACCAACAGACAACACAATCCTGCGTCTCCACTAAGGTACACTAAATAGTCGACAAATAGCTCACACCTAAGCTTCACAAGACTGCCCTGGTGCGGGATGCGCCATTAGGCCCTGCACTACCTTGTTTCCGAAAATATCCGGTAAAGCTGTCATGATGTGACGTGCATTATGCTCCAGTAAGCGTCTGTCACCACTCGAATAGCTCTGTCTGTACTCCCGTCACTCATTCTCACCTGACGGGTTCCATCACTTCAATCCTAAGGGCAACCCGAATCCCACCACATCACCATGTCCGAGCCCACAGCAACCCAACACCATCCCAAATTTCAAAACCACAAACCAGAACAAGATGCCGTTGACTATGAGATGCAAACATACACACGCGGGTTAGACTTTGAACGCCCACCACTCACATTCCAGGCCGATAGATGGGAAGAATTGGCTTGTAGCCGCATGTCAGCCGACTCCAAAGGCTACGTCTACGGATCGGCTGGAGTACGAGAAACAACAGACAAAAACCGCAATGCCTTCAGGAAATGGTCTATTGTGCCAAACCGCCTGGTAAAGTACACTGGTTTCCCCGACCTGACGACCGAAATCTTCGGCGAGAAAATGGTGGCGCCCATAGCCATGGCGCCAGTCGGCGTACTGAAGATCTTCAACCCCCAAGGCGAAGTCGCCGCCGCAAAAGCCGCAGCCAAAGAGGCTATCCCATACATCCTAAGTACAGCGAGTAGCACGAGTATAGAGGATACCGCCGCAGCCAACGGCTCCGATGGCCAACGCTGGTACCAACTTTACTGGCCCTCACGCGAACACGACGACATTACTATATCTCTACTCCAGCGCGCAAAGAAATCCGGTTTCACAGCTCTGTTCGTAACGCTAGATACATATATCCTTGGCTGGCGGCCCGAAGATATGGATAATGGATACAACCCCTTTATGCGCGCAGATCGCACAGGCGTGGAGCTCGGTATGACAGATCCTGTGTTCCGGAAACAGTTCAAGGAGAGGCATGACGTGGATGTGGACAGTAAAATGGACACTGCGGCGCCAGAATGGATGAGGACAATCTTCCCCGGGGAGAGCCATAGTTGGGAGGATGTGGAGTTTTTGAAGAGGCACTGGGATGGGCCAATCGTGCTCAAGGGCATTCAGAGCTTGGCCGATGCGAGAAAAGCGGTTGAGATTGGTGTGCAGGGCGTTGTTGTGAGTAATCACGGCGGGAGGCAGCTTGATGGCGGGAATTCCTCGTTGGGCGTGTTGCCACATATCGTTGATGCTGTTGGGGACAAGTTGACAATCTTCTTTGACAGTGGGATTCAATCTGGTGCTGACATTGCGAAAGCAATGGCGCTGGGCGCTGACTGTGTGCTAGTTGGTAGACCATACGTGTATGGTCTGGCACTCGGAGGAGAAAAGGGCGTGGAGCATGTACTCAAGAGTTTGGTGGGTGAACTGGAGCTGACCTTGCATTTAAGCGGTATCCAGAGTGTGCAAAAGAAGGACCTGAGTCGAAGTGTATTAGTCAGGGAGGACGCGCTTTTTGAGGGAGTGAAGGGAGTGGGGCTGCATTAGATGCCTCATAGTCAGGAGAGCGTCTACATCTCTATCAGGCAGCTTTTCTGGGCTGTGAAACTCGAGGCCGCTCTCGATTGGGCACTTTTCACCTTCACCTTCATCTTGGCTAGAACTCAAGTATTAACGCTTCACCCTGGCTTTAGTCATCTCCTAGCAAGCCACTATCACATTTCACTTCCACTTTCAAAGCTACCCACTCGATATGTGACCCACGATCAACTGTTAGTCACCTAGAGATGAAGAACTGGCGCACGTATATCTTGCATCTCTGTGCCTTAGTCTGTTTCGCACCAACTTCAACCTTGCTCTACGAACTACTAGCAGCACTGTCCAATGAGACCAAGCCGCGATCGAGTCAACATGACCGAGCTCGAACGACAAGTCGCGTTGCTGAAGTCCCGTGGCCTGATGGTACCGACCACAGATCCAAGAACGAGCAAGCGGCCCGCAGAGGAATCGTCCCCAGAACCCTCATCCAAAAAGACAAAGCACACCACTGAAATTGCTTCTGTGAGTACATACAATAAATGGACAGCGACGTGTATACCCAAGTTTGGAGTGGTCATTAACCTCCGCTAGAAACGCCAACTTCATGCACACTCTATCCTCCAGCGTGAATTTCTCCATCAAAAGGCCGAACTTCAAAGAACGAAACAAGAGCTGGCAGCCGAGAAAGCCAAATCAGCCTACAGCAGCAACCAGATCAAGTTGCTCTGTGTTCAATGCTGCAGATTGACCGACCGTTACCACGCCGCTCTCGCCTCCCACGCTTCTCTTCAAGCCACATATCGCGACCAAACCTCCGAGCTCCGTGCCCACAAAGGTGCCCTTGACATTGCCAACGAAGAGCTAGAGGAGTCTCGCAAGGACGCTGATACCTATCGCGAGGCGATATTGAAGCGAGACGAAGATTACGAGCTTGCGAAGAAGCAACTGGAAGAAGCGAAGGACGACGAGGTGTTGGAATGGAGGGTGTTGACGAGCAGGTTGCAATCGCTTGGGAAGGGCCATGAGACGGGTCGCGCGGTCTACGACATGCTTTTACTGCAAGTTGAGAGACAGTGTGACGAGGACAAGGTTGTGTTGGAGAGTGTGAAGGAGGCTTTGAAGGACGCGTTTGGCGGATTCTTTGAGAGAGAGTAAGTTGACGGGAAGTACGCCTGGAAGGACCTGCGTTGGATATCGAGCGGATGTACGCCTTGCTGATTAAAGTTGCTGGTGATTTGGATATTCGACATGTGGTGACGATTAGAGTTGCATCCCGCTTTTCTTGTGGTTCGGTCTAACAGTGGTGGTCATCATGCCTACGGGAATGACTCTTTAACTCAACTAGATCCGCATAGGGACCTGTTCTTTTCTCCGCTGAGAGGTGAACACTATGTCATTTCGCTGTCGTGGAACGATCTGAGCAATACAAAGCTCAATACTACGCGCATATAAGGGTATATCAGCGCCAACCAAATTTTGCAGATCTCCCGGTGCCGTCCAAATACATATTTTGAGCCGTCCATACCATATCATATCCTCAGATCAAGTCTCATACCCGCATCATCATGCGCACGGTAGGAATAAAGTCTTGACTGTCCTTCTCTTGCTGTTCGAAACTCTGTTTGAAGGCTGCCAACCCCGCGAGGATTCCGCAAACCATAAAAATCAACGAGACAAGTGACCAGATGACGCCCCAGCATTGCGATGAACCGCCGTACCGCTTGGCGAAGACGCTGGCATCGGAAGAATTAACCTTGCGGAGGATGAGGTCGTCACAGATGTCCCACACGCTGTATAGAGAAGACATGACGCCGATAAAGAGCTGGAAAGTTTTTAGTTCGACGGTTTTCGAAAGGACGAGAAGGGGTACTCACGACCATGAACCTTAACGCTTCGCCATGTTCGATGAACCAGAACGCCACAAGCAACCCTACACTGAGCAGAATGGTCACAATCGTCAACCAGTCTTTTCTCGCCCACCACAATGTCAGTAGGAAACATACGCCTAGCACGATACTCGCTACTTTGGAGGCCACGATGTTGAAACCGCAGAACGTAAGTAAAGCGCCGATCAATGAAGACCCCAAGTAGCCAGCAGGGAGAGTAATGAATTGCTTGCCGCCGCGCATGTGTGTCACACCTCCCTCATGAGGATCAAGAGAGATTGATTCTACTCGCCCACCAGTACAACAAGACGTTATTGCATGGGAGAATTCGTGGAAGGCAATGACTAGCATCTGTGGATTCAATCAGCCATCCATGTCTCCTGTTATGCTGATTTTGCAAGCTCAAGGAACCCGGTCATCAACCACACTGATGATCTCAATTCCAGACCATCTTCTCCTAGGGCTACTACGGTGCACATACCTTGAACGGCCACAACACCCATCGCACATACGGTAAATTCCACAACAACGCAATAACAACAACATATGCAGCAATAACACCTAGCGTAACTCCTTGAGTATGATTTACACTCAATCCGCGGCGCTCGAAGTGATGCGAGGCCTGCGAAGCGACAGCCGGCCCCGCTGTGACCAGGGCCCGACGCGCTAATTTGGCGAGGTTGCTGGTGTTGTGAAGTGGTACTGCTGGCGGCATAGCTCCGTATTCGTATCTTCCGGTATTTCAGTGTTCGTAGTTGAGCAGAAAAGAATCCTAGATAATGAGCGGCAGAAGTGTAAAACGAGCGAGGACACTGTATCTTGTTGTTTGAAAGCGGAGAGTGGCTGGAGAGAAGACGTGGAGCTGACGCGTTGCCGCTTGTGTTTGTGACATGCGCCACGCTAAAATTAGCAGGGGTGGCTGTGCCGGCACCTTTCCGGAATGCAAAAGAGCTTCTCACATCACAGAGGCAGCGAATTGTTAATGTGTTGGAATTGAATAAAGTCTAAATTATGTACGCCTCTTGGCGGTATGTAGCGCAGTGCTAAAATGGAGGAGCCGCTAGAAGACAGCGGCAGTGCGAGAACATCTCTAACCTGGACTGCCTAGGTAAAGATATCCTGTATTTGACCATGGGAGTATATTTAAACCCTCTCGTGGTGCGTTGACATGCCCCTCTCAGGCGAAGTATCAACATCTTTGTCGCCGACCTTCTCGGATGCAGCAGCACCAGTAGCACCAACAGCACTGTGACGACGCTCCCAATAAGTGTCGTCACGTTCGTTACGGCTGATGTATCCAGCTGGGACCCACTTCTTACTGGTCCTAGCCGATATGCTTGGGTCCGAGTACATGATATCGACATTCTCCAAAGACAATGATTTGGTCTCGAATACGAAGAAGTAAACGATACCCGCCGCAACGAAGTTGCATGCGAAGAAGACGAAACCGAAGGCGTAGCCGATACCGTCGTCAGCGTACGGTGTAAGGAAACCGATCAAGAAATTGCCTAACATGGAGCGTTAGTGAATAGATTTGATGTGTTGAAGATGTATAGCTTACCGAGCCAGTTGAAAGCAGTAGCCAAAGAGGCCTGCTTCGCGCGAGTGCGGAGTGGGAACGTCTCTCCAATGATAACCCAAATGAAAGGCCCCCAGGTAGAGGCGAAACTTGCGATGAACATGCAAGCAGCGACAATCATAACAATACCAGCGGCCGGGTTGTCCTGTGGCGGTAGCACGACACCGATGATAGCAAAAATCAGCAGCCAGACAGCTTGCCACAGACCACCAACGACGAGAGGCACACGACGACCAACTCGCTCAATGAGCCATAATCCAGGAATGGTCATGACTACATTGACAGCGCCAAGAATGAGTTGAACCTGGAGAGGGTCGTCAATACCTGCCGACTGGAAGATGGTCGCTCCGTAGTAGAAAAAGTAGTTGACACCGGTCCACTGCTGGAAAAATTGCAGAGCACATCCGAGAAGGGTTCGGTAAGCAAGAAGCGGAATGCCGGATGGCTGGCCAGTGAAGCATTCCATCCAGGTACCTTGTCCAGCGCTCTGTTGTTCGTTGATGGAATCCTCCATCTCCTTGAAGTCCGAGTTGACCAGCTCGTGGTTGGGGTCATGCACAAGGCCTCGGAGACGGGCCATTGACATGCGTGCCTCTTCCCATCGTCCTTTACCCGCCAACCACCTTGGAGACTCCGGTGTGAAAAGTACACCGACACCAAGAGGAATGGAAAAGCCGATTCCCAAGCCGATAACGATCCTCCAGGCAGCATCGCTATCCTCGCCTGGGTTGTCGCGGACTCCGTAGTTGATGATGTTGGAGATGAGAATTCCGACAGTGATCATGAGTTGGTAAGATGCGACGACGGCACCACGAATCTCTCGAGGGCATACTTCAGATTGGTACATTGGTACGCCAATAGACAGGATACCGACACCAAGACCTGCGACAATGCGACCAACTGTCATGTGTACCCAAGTGGTCATCGCGGTGACCTGGATGATGTTGCCAATAACGAATATGGCCACACCAACGGTCAGATTGCGTCGACGACCGAACCAATCAGCAGTGTAGGCACCAGCAAGTGCGCCGATGAGGGTACCGATGGACATGAGGGAAACGAGCAAGGATTGAATCGTGGGGTTGAAAGCCTTCTCGCCATTGCCCTGGTCCTGTCCGAATCGCTGAATGAAATCCTTAAAGATGAGCATTCCAGAAATTTGACCCTATCTTGAATAAGCCGTTGGACGGTTGGAAACAGAACATATATGGTACATACCGTGTCATAACCAAACAGGAAACCACCTATCGAAGTAATCACTCCAAGTATGATGGCTTCAATGCCGCACTCGGCGCCGCGTATCTTGACAGCACTGTAAAAGTTAGCACAATTGTATGCGTACTTCAACCGGATCAAAACCTACACTTTGCCCAAACCCATGATTGTAAGATGACTTGGCCACGGGAAGATTGATATTCAAGGCAAGATGGGGTTACTCGTCCGGTACACATCCATTCTTAAGTATCAATGCCAATTCCAATCCCGTGTCCCGTTATGCGGTAATGCCCAGCATCGCGCCGAGCTTTCGACTCCGGGGCCTCTACGTCATACGCGCCACGCCGTCACGCGAAATTGCGCGCGAGCGGCCTTACAAGCTTGGCTTGTCCTCCTCCACAGCCAAACAGAAGTCATCCGGGGGTCTGAAACTGCAGTAGTGGGCTTGTCAATGCGACGCAGCCGCTGGGGGACAAGGGGCGTGTATGTGGGGAAGCTGGTCGCGATTCGACGGCCAAGCCAAATCCGCCCGACGTTCCGGGAAGTCCCCCCAAAGAGATACACAGCCTCGAGTTCACATGGATCGGATCGTGTTCTTGCATGCTCATCTGACGGTAGGCGTTGTACAGGACGTTCTGCTAATGCGATTTGAACGCCTCTGACACCCACCCCGCATTCAGATGCATGGCATACAACGACGAGCCTCAGGGACCGTTGTGCCGCACAGCCGATCCCCAGGAACCTACTGATAGTCGCGTGACTTGTGGATGTCGACTCAACGACGCGTATTCCTCGGCCGGGCCCATGTCGGTGAAGATACTTCACTTCAAGATGCGACAGATTCTCTCGGCAGTGGGGATGATGGAGATGTGTACGACCCCATCCAGGTCTGTGCAGCCCTCAACACCAGTCTCTCTCCGACCATCCCTCCGACTCTTTAAACAAATGCCGCGTGAACCGGCATAAGCTTTGTCGCAGCGCTTGTTTTGATTCGCAATCTCCGATCGCTTGCAGTCTTCCTCCGGTCAGGTATAGCGAGGGACCCGTTTTGGATGCAACGTAAGCCAGGTTGCGGCGACAGATTGGTTCGGATTGGTGCAGGAGGCCCACATGAGGCTCAAGGAAGCCACTAAGAACATTCCATTGACTTGGCATGTCCGACCCGCAGCGGACGAGAAAGTGAGGCCGTAATCTCGGTAGTTCCCACATCGCGGAGTGGGTGTGAAAACTTTGAGGGGAGCTTGCGTGTGGTGAGGAGAAGAAGGGGTTGCGGAGGCTGCGGAGACTGGAGAAAACTTCTCACTAAGTAGTAAGCACTGGGGACGAAAGCTGGAGACGAAAGCTGGAGATGGAACAACGAAACCAACATTGCAGCAACTTCTCGCACGACAGCGACCTCCGGCTGGATTTATAGCTGACACAGTCCAACATCAAAATTGCTTCAGACCTGACTCTCGCAGTTTTCCGCTCCATACAGTTTAGCGCACCCGAGAGGTCGCCAGCTTCTGGTGCGGAAGGGAGTATAGACTGCATCGAGAACGCGGCGAGACGATACAGCTTGATGCAGTCTTCGTATCCTTTACTGCGCCAATATCCCTGCGCCAATGTCTGGCTGCGTGAGAGACATTCGTGCCAACTGTGATACGCGACGCGCTCCGCTAGGTCACGTGCGACCGTTTCTTGGTGCCCCAGGGCTGGGCGCCATCAGTAGCGCTAGGGCGTGGTCGTGATGTCATGACATCGCGACGCTGAAGAGCGGATTGAGCATATCGAACTGGGAAACGTCGACAGCATATTCTGCAAAAAAGACCCTGGACAATACTCATTTCGAACTACCTATCACGATTCCTAAATACATAGCAAGATGGTCAAGGACAATGAAACCGTAATTGAGTGAGTAGCTTGTGTGAACTGAGGCGAGGCCAAGTGCTTACGGCGCCCCGAGGGAATTCAACGAGCTTGTCAACATGTCAGCAGACGAGCTACAAGACTGGCTCGGCAGCGAAGAGTCCGAGGGAGCCGGCTGGTAAACTCTCCTTCTAATGCAATGCTGACATTGCGAATTGCATGGCATACACAGTCTCTAAGGCGCCTACAGGTCCAAGGATAACGGCTCCGGCGAAACAATCGGTCATGATTCAGGCCGTAAAATTGTTGCCATCTTGCAGAAGAATCCAAAGAAAGAAGCTAGTAAATACGACCAGGAAGACATCGATCACATGCGCAAGGTAGTAGCATATTGCAAGAGGCATCTTGCGCAAGAAGAGAAGGCGAAGAAAGACACCGATAGTAAGAGCTATAAGAGTTTGAAGAACTGGGGTCACGATGCGCAGAAGGCTTGAGCACAAGATTCCTTGAAGAAGATGTTAGGTAGATGAGTGAAGATTTGAAAAGACGATATAAATGATCATGTATCGAGGCCGTACGGCATGCACGTCACTATAATTTCAATAACACACTTCACTATATGACACCATCGAAAGCGAAGAGCACCGGCTTCAAGACGTCCAGATTAAAAGCGGGGTAAATTGGAAGCAGTGTTCAGGAACTATCTAGGTAGAAGCGGCGCATAGGACTAGTGTCTTGGTCTACATGACAGTCGACTTCTTGCGGCCAGCAAAGTAATTTCCCTACTGAAAATTAGTTCTGCCTTCTCGGTGTTCACGATCAGAGGAAGCTTACCTGCATACCACCATCACACGCAGGCTGCTCCATTTCGTCTGTCTTTGTCCTCTCAGGTGGGTGTCTGCGCTTGAAACACTCGCCTACATGGTGGCCTTCGTCACAAGCGACAACCCATTGACCCATACCCATGTCCTTGGGTGCGTGCCTGACACCTCTCCCACCACCACCTACTATCAGATTGCCAGGACGGTAGGTTGGGTCTGCGCGCATACGCTTAATCACGCTGCTGTGGATAACGGCATCGGCGGGTATATCACGGGTCTCGCCTTTAGGCAAAGGCCATCTGATTGCTTTCCAGGTTCCGTCTTCTTGTAGATCCATACGTCGAAAGGGTAGATACTCCATTATGTTCCACGAGACGACGCCCATACGGTTGGCGCCATTATTGAACTGGAGAACATCATGAATACGGCCTTTAGTTGCGGCGCTGTGGAGGTGTTTATGGAAGTGTGTGTTCGGGTGTTCACGGTGATGAGAAAGTATGTTGTCGTCGTCAGTGTAGCCTGCTGTATCCATGGACGGCGCATCCGAATTCTTGCGTGGAATGACTGGTGAGGGTGATGCAGGATCAATCGCAATCATCGGTATGTTGTTTTGGGCTCGCGAAACGGTGGTTGTAGGTTCCTCATGGCAACAACTCAGGGCCTCCAACTTGTCTTCGTCGAAGTCGAGACCAGCTTTTTGAGCCTCGCGCACCATCCACACCAGCGCTACGTGACTCAACGCTGCATCATCGTCACCGAGAGGCCATCCTCCGCCAATGTCCTACGCATTGTCAGTTTTGAAGGTCTATCCCAGGTAAAATGCACTCACTGCATGACACCCTGGAAACCAGACTTCTTGAATGTCTTGTTCACCATCCTCGTCTTGAGAGTTGAAAGTTCCTGCTGCGTCGTACGATCGCATTGAAGGAGTAGCAGAGCCATGAACACCATCCAGTTGTGAGCGGTCTGCGCTACGGCTGCGCACGCCTGAAGTCTCATGTGGATCTCTGAATCGCTCAGGCGGTGCTAACGTGTCCCGCCGACCTCTCTCTTGGTGTTCCTCATGATCCTTTTCGTCATAATCATGATCCTCATGATCACCGTGGATCATATCCTTCATTTGCTGCCGATGCTTGTGATGACGGTGTTTGTAAAGCATTGACCTGTCTGGCTTCTCCTGGGAGATGAGATCTTGTCTGAACTTTGCACGCCGTTCATCGATAGAAACCGCATGACGTATTACGTTCGCACTGCTTCTTGCGGTATACGGGAACCTGCTGCGTTGCATCCATGCATTCTCGAATGCAGGCACGCTGTTGACTGTATCAAAAAGACCAAGAAAGCGTATGGGTTTGACAGGGCGGCTGAATGTCTCCCTGAACGCGCACATGAATTCGAGAAGCTTTAGCTTTTCTGATTTCTCGCCGGACTTGCGGCTTTTGCTACCCTTCTCTTCTGGCAGTCGACATTGCCACTTCTGAAATGTTCTGACCAAAAGTGTAAGTGAGGGTTTTACAATGACTTCAGGCTGTACTTACTTCCATGCGAACTGGCACATCTCTTCATTTCCAGCCTGTTGCATGTTAGAAACTTCTTGATATATGGTGAACAAGCGCTTACAGAGAGAAGGCCAACGTGATCGAGCATCTCCGCAAGGAAACGAGCTGTGTAGGCACCTCGTGAAAATCCAAAGAAGAATATGTCATCACCAGGCGTATAGTATCTCATCAGGAACTGTCCAAAGCGTGTCAGTGCTATGCGCCATGGTTGTTCCTTCAAGCGAGCAACCGGAGCTGCTGCTCTGTTTCAGGCAGTTAATTACTAACCTTATATCCTGCCATAACGTGCTGGTCGAATGAAGTTCCTATACTAGATTAGGTCTCATGCTTGGCAGCCAAGTCCGATCGAACATACCTATCGCGCTGTCTTTCGCCTTCGCATACCACGACTGAAACCTCTCCCATCGGCCTGTTCGGGTCATAGATCCATTGGCTTTCGTAACGTAGGTGCCGATTCCAGGCTGATAGTAATGAAATTGATCGTCCCCATTGCGATCGAGCATGCGATAAATCTTCAGGATGTTGCTATCCGAATCTGTACCCGAGAACTTGTTACCTGTACCATCAAAGCACAGGACAAATTTCTTGGTCACATGATTCGGACGTCGCGATACTGCTCCGTAATCCATAGGGTTGTTGTTAGGTGTTTGTGCGGGAAGCTGGGGTGAAACACTAGGGAGACGTGACTGCTCTGGGTTTATACGCGCCATGCTGACAACGTGGAACTCGAGCAGGGAGGGGATTCTGAGAGGGTAGCAACTTCGTAGTTAGAACGAAGCAGTTGCGAAGCCTTAGGTAGCCAAGTGATTTCTATCATCGCGGGGATCGGATGCAGTGGCCTAACACAACTGACGCATGCTCCCCTCCGGCCTGTTCCCAAAGCTTCCGAACGTATCAAGTCATGTTAAGATATTGATCGCCATTGCTAATGCAGCTTGCAAAGACACTCGCCTATCGACATGTCGATGTCGCGTGTGGTGGGTTCGGAGTAGTCCCGCCGCTAATCAGGAGCCGCTGATCTTTTCGAAGTGCCGTCCGCCCTACAGAGGTCATTGATTTTGGAATGGCTGATACGAACTAGCTACCATGCACTGTTCCACGCCCCCACTTCAAGTATCTATGTAGATGATGTGGAAGCAACACATATGTTGCAGCGTTGGCTGACAGGAGACACGACAGATGCACCGCATGCTGCCCCGTCTTCTACCGTAGTTGATCGTAGAAAAGAAATCTGGATGACCCTTTCACCGCAATTGAGCCAATGTCGTTTTCCGGCCACCATCCTGGCTGGAGGTAACCGGTGCACGCAATGATACGCGTTCCGACAGAGAAGCCCCGCAAGCTAATGCTGAGTGCGGTGCAGGGAATCACAATCGTGTCAACTTCTATTGGTTTCATAAGCGTGCGCGTTCAACACAGCTGTGCCGATCAGAGGATAGTTGCTGGTGTAGGTCTGCTCGCCGACATATGAGCTGGAAAAGCACGTCGCGTCGTTTAGAGGTGGTTGGCGCTACCCTGCTAGCGATCACTTGTGGGTCATGGTCCGTGCAGAGCCGTCTCGATTCCCGTCTTCTCGACTATCGATCGCACTTCCCACTCATCGCAACCACCACCGGCGTCTTGGATGAACCGAACAGTAAACCTTACGGCTTCGGGACAGGCCGTAGGCCACAGACTGCGGATGCTAGTACTTAGCTCGATACCGCACCCTACTCGGAGATTTGCAAGCTCGCGCTCCAGTTGTTGACCGCCACCGCATCAGCTGAAACTCCATTTCGTTTGTTCACTCGCTAGCAGATGAATGCGCGACCAGCCGCCGGGAAATAGGATCGGTCAATTCCGGGCCCGCAAGCGCTAGGGGTTTCTTCTACTACTCAGCCGAAGGCTGCTCAATCAGGATGCCGATCGCTTGAAAGTTCATCTATGGCTTTCGTCTACGTCTCTGTTTGGAATGGTCGCAAGATCAGGTCGCCGTTTCTGTCTATCACGTCGTCGACCGCTACCTGCGCAAAAGTGCACATCCAGCCTGGCATCAGATTACCAAAATCATACCACGACGGGTCCCCAGACAATCACTGGGTGCTGAAGCCTGAAACGTGGCAGGTGTACCCGTGCGGCATACACATTTCTTTTGAGCATGCTTCGTGATGTTACAAAAACCATCCATGGATCATCACAGGTGGGCCTCTCTAGTTCCATCCCCAATGGGGCCAATGGTGCTGCTACGCTGTGGGTCCTATCGACGCTGCCCACAGATCGTCTCTTGGACTTACTCAACACCCCTCTGTCAGTTCCCAGTGAAGGTAGCGCAGCATCCGTCTAGTGCTACCCTCCACGAAGTAGCTCATGACCAATCAACACTCACATAATTGCAGCTATCAAAGCTTTGACGATATCAAGATCAAGACGCTACTCTTTCCGCCTTGGTGCATGCATGGGTTCACCCGCCCTCACTGGAAGCCGTAGGACACTGTTCGCCAAGTGCATATGCTGATCAACACACCGAAGCTGCTAGCGATCGTCGTCATGGGACTGGCTCGTCGCTGCTTGCCATGGCCAAGCTCTCGTGTGGGGAGCATTGCGCCTTCCAAGATCAACAGCAAGCTGCATTGAACTTACTTCCTGACTTCCCTACCGTCCTGGGATTCATATTCTGCCCATTCCCATCCTTTCCACATGGTTATTCGCACAACTATTCATCATGCCTAGTCAGATACAAACATTGATCGGAAAGATCAGGAGAAAGCCTACGCAAGCAAGCGATGGCAGAACGGCGGAAGTTGCGAGCGGGCTGAAGAACCACCAGAAGACCGGCATTGTCAGCGACATTAGAGGTCTCGGTGTTAAGGATGCCAAATTCGCTCTCGACGCTATTACAACACTGGCATCAGGCGAGCCTTTGGACGATAAAGATCTTCTTCTCGAGAAGGGAGTCCAGATGCTACAGGGACTGCCTCTGAACAGCGGTCTCAGCGCAAAAGTCTCAGACGGGTTTATTAGCATGCTCTGGAATGACTTGCCCCACCCAACGCCTACACATGCTGGACCTTCAGCAAGATACCGGAAGCACGACGGCTCGGGAAACAATCCTCACAACCCCGAAATGGGCAAGGCAGGATCGCCGTATGCGCGCAACGTGCCTCCAACAAAACCGAAAGGTAAGTAATCCTCCCGTGCGACAGACTTTCGAATTGGGACTGACAACTACCTGTAGGACCAAACTTGCCCGACGTTGAAGACGTGTATGAGGCGCTCCTCAAGCGCGATAGGCCTTTCCGCGAGCATCCTTCTGGTCTCAATCGCTTGTTCTTCTCTTTCGCAACTATCGTCATTCACGAATGTTTCCAAACCTCTAGGACAGATCCTTGGATCAACGAGACTTCGAGCTATGTTGACCTCAGCACCTTGTACGGCAACACAGAGAAGGAGCAGCCGCGCGTGCGAACATACAAGAATGGCCTGATATATCCAGACTCTATCGCCTCGGAGCGCATCATGATGATGCCTCCTGGTGTAGTCGCTGTACTTTTGATGTTCTCAAGGAACCACAACCACGTTGCGGAATCATTACTGTCAGTGAACGAGGACGGCAAATATAAGCCGTGGGATAGTTTAGACGAAGCGGGCAGAAAATGGTAAGTCTTAAACACCTTCCACTCCCTAGATGGGTCTAACACGTTGTTAGGCAAGACGAGGACATCTTCCAGATTACTCGCAATATCAACGTTGGCTTCTTTGCTTCAGTCGTATTGAAAGACTACGTCGCTGCCATCTTGAACACACCACGAGCCAACTCAGAATGGTCTCTCGATCTCGGTAAAGAGATCAAACAGGGTGGTACACGTGTCGAGCGCGGAACCGGCAGTCATGTATCTGTGGAGTTCGCTGTTCTCTACCACTGGCATGCTGCTCTCAGTGCTGCCGACGAGAATTGGATGGAAGAAATCATCCGTTCTGTTTTCCCCGACTTACGTCACATCGACGATGTAACAATCGAGATGTTCCACAAGGTTATGAAGGTGTACGGTCACGACTTGATGAACAAGAAGCCCTGGGAATGGACATTCGGAGGCCTTCAGCGGGGAGCCGATGGCAGATTCAACGATGCTCAACTCTCAGAGCTGATCAAAGACTGCATCGAAGAACCTGCTCACGCTTTTGGTGCTCATGGTACACCAGCCAGTCTTAAGGTTGTCGATCTCATGGGTCAGTTACAAGCCCGTGAGATGTTCAATGTTTGCACACTCAACGAATTCCGTCGGTATCTTAATCTGAAGCCGTACGAAACGTTCGAGGATTGGTGCTCTGACAAAGAGACGGCGCGGGCAGCCGAGCTTTTGTATGGTCATATGGAGAATATGGAACTATACCCGGGATTAATGGCTGAGTGCACGAAGCCTGCTATGCCAGGAAGTGGCGTTTGTCCCGGTCAGACAACTGGTCGAGGTATCTTGGACGATGCTGTCGCATTGGTCCGCGGTGACCGTTTCCTGAGCTACGACTTCAACAGTAACACTCTTACGCAGTGGGGCGCGGCTCTGCTGTCAGAGAGTACACCAGGAGCATATGGCGGCGTATTTCCCAAGCTGCTCTTCCAGGGTCTCCCAGGTGGATTCAAAGGAACTTCCAGCTACGCGCTGCTGCCCTTTTACACGCCCAAAGCAGCTAAAGAGATTCTCACAGGCAATAAGGTGGTTGAACAGTATGATCTCAGGCGCCCTCCGAGCGATTACGACATCATCAGTGTCCAGACGCAAGAAGGTTGCAAGAAAGTGTTCGAGGACCGTGAGAACTTTGTTGTCATGTACCAGGCAGCTATTCGCAACTGCACGGCTGGACATGACTTCATGATCGGATGGGACGAGCAAAAGAAGCATGACGAGCGGTCCAAAATCCTGCATAAGGTCTTCTTCGAGGAGGGTTTTGAGAAGAACATCGATGAGTTCTTCACGACCAACGTACGGAAACTCATCAAGCAGAACTCACTTAAAGGCGCCAAGGGCAGAATGAGTATCGACGTTGTTCGCGATGTTACCAACATCACGCCAATCCTCTGGCTTGCAGAGCGTTTTGCACTTCCGCTGAAGACACAAGAGCAACCTAGAGGGTTACTCTCTATCCACGAAGCGTTTCTCGCATATCTTGTTCTATGTAAGTTACAACACCAGCCATTTCCAATTACGAACAGCCGGCTAATTAACTGCTAGTCATGTACCAATCCTTCAACATAATGCCACACAATGAGTGGAAACTGCGAGCAGGCGCGATGCAGGCCGCAGCACCACTCCGCTCGATCTTCGAAACCCACCTGAAGACACAGACAGGGCGTCTTGAAGGCTTAGTAGATTGGATGGCCAAGGGCTCCGCCTTTGAAGTAGGTCCACACGCCGACCGCATCTACCACACCCTTGCCGACACCAAGCTGCCCATTGGCGACTTGGTAGGCGACTGTATCGGCATGGGAGCACCCGTGGCCGGAAATCTGACCCAGCAAGCCAGTCTGCTAATCGACCTATTCCTCTCGCCCGGGTACGAAAAGTACAAGGCGCGAATCGTGGAACTGTCGCACATGGATCCCGCAAAATCGGATCGCGAATTACAAGGTTTCGTTTACGAGGGTATGCGCCATGTGGGCGTGGTTCCTGGTCTCCCTCGCGTTGCCACCCGAGACATCACCGTCAACGACGGTGTCCGTGGCCCCGTGTCCATC